CTCTCCATTGTTCTATTGTTTCCCCTTTCACTTCGTTTCGTTCGATTCTATCATTTTTATTATCCTTCTTTATTATACATATATATATATATACATATATATATATATATATTCCTTGTTTCTACTTTTAGCGCGATTTCGCGGATCCTTCATATTTCCGCGTATACCTTCGTTATACAAACTTTCTCAGAGTAACCCGAGTCAGAATTTTGGTTCTACTTGTAAATTCTGCCTAAGACAAAAGGACTGTAGAGAAGTGTGAAATATAAGCACTGTACAAATTGTACATTATTTGTATGTTACAAATAGTTGCTTACAATTTGGAAGTTCCAAACAGATGAAAGGAAAGGAGTTGAGGGCGGGTACATGTCTAACAATGCTACAGGTCACAATCCAACTTGAATTGGCAGATAGATATTATTAAATGCTGAATTTAGACTCGGGTTAGACTTTCGCGAGAAAAGCTAAGAAGCGGCTCCTTTGAAACTCAGTGAAACTGTACATATAGCTGAAATATATGGTGATTCACAAGGACAAATTTCGACAAGGAATCAAACTAACTCTTTATACCGCGTAGTCCAAAGCGTTAGCCAATTTTGGTCGATCCTAGTTTAGAGTTATAGTGTAGAAGGCGTACGAGAATAATAAATCACTTATATTCGTAAAAGTTGCGTATGTATGAAATATTATCCTTTTTCACAATTATAAAATATATTTTGAGGAAGATCATATAGAAAGAAAGCAATGTATACACGTATGATATATTCCCATATTTTCGGAATAAATTAAGAATCAATGAACATCGCAATAGAGTAAATCGAGCAAAAGTTTGTAACAAAAGGAACAGGCCGACAAAAAAACTTACCAAGGTCGTCCTCAGTCGTTGTTTCATGTTTATATCTCTGAGACACCGAGGCTAATATTGCATGACATAACTGGCTATATTATTTTTAGCATTCAACATTTGTATATATTCGATTATTTTATTATTATTCAATATATATATATATATATATATATATATATGTATATATAATCATTAATAATTCTCTGAATTTGTATTATTCTAAATAACGTATCTATATTATGCAAGCGCCGATATTAAATCATAAATTATGTATTGTATAAAAAACACGAAATTTCTCAAAATAAATATCGTGTTGGAAAAATTGGCGCCAAATCGAACCCGATCGTACAGTCTAATAATGGCGGACGATAGATAACTCAATTAGAGCCATATTCGCGCCATCGATCATGCCATTATAATCCTTAGTCGACCGGTTTGCTTCTGTTACTCGCAATTTGAAACTTTAGCCATCTTAACCAAGCATCCCGATGAGCCTCCGTATCTCACATATAATTATAATAAAATCTGTGTTGTTACTCACCGAGAGAAGAGTGAAGTGTCGCGATTAATGATGGGACGTCAGTCTCGCTGAATTAACCGCCCATCCCAAGTGGAGATCCCAAGATCGTGGAGAAAGCCGGGAGGCTCCTTTGAAAGATGATCGTCACTCACTACGGATAACATAACGCCGATCGCAAACGATTCGACAGTCTTCCAATAATCAACGAGATAGCATTCACTCATCCGATACGCGATACCACACCGATACGACGCGAATCACTTTAAAGAAACATTCACGGAATCGCCCGGACGGACGCGACGTTTCGCGCGCTAGAATGTTCCACGACGACTGTAAGGAAGATGGCGGGCGCGTCGCTCGCGCCATCTGCGGCCACGGACTGCGTGGCAAGCGACCTGACCGGTATTTACAATTACCTTTTTTATACCTTCGCGGTATCCCACCCAAACATGTTTTTATCGGTAAAGCTGTTAGCAGGGCGATAACGTTTCCGCGAACGCCGACAAAAAGCCGGTTAGCTTGCTAAATCCTGTGTTATTGTATCTCGCGCTACATATCACGCGCACGAGATGAATATACATATTGATTTACGATCATTGAAGACCTTAATTATGCCAACTATTGCCGTAAACGATGTTTTTACCAGTCGACAAATTAATGCTAATATGAATTATTAAGCATCGTATATAAAGTCTTAGGTATTTTCCTCAATCACGATATCGCGTCGAAACCGATCGCGCCAATTAATAATGGCCGACAGTCAACAATTCAATTAGGTTCATATTCGCGCCAAGAACCACGCCATTATAGCCCTTATATACGGCCAATCGACTCGTTTCCGTTATAACCATTTTAATCGAAAGTCCCGATGAGCTGTTCATGTCTCACTTTCGGTTATAATATTCGTCCTGTTACTCACCGTGAGAACTATGAGCTGCCGCGATTAATAACAGCACCTCCATCTCGTCGACTCATTCCGGAAGTCTTGACGAAACACGAGAAGATAATTCTATGAGATTCTGTAAGAAATGAACGCAAACTACAGATAGAGGAAACATGGAACACGAATCGCGAGATATAATCGCGTGATCGCTAATATGGTCGGTGATTTGTCAGCAACCAAACACGACAGCAGTAACTTACCTAATGCGCAACGTCATCAGCACGATGCAAATTACCGGGGAAAATCACACGCAGAACTCTCCGGACGAGCAGCGTGCTTGGTCCGCTTGAAAGTTCGAAGATTCTCATCGACGAAAGGAAGATGGTGGCGGTTACCACGCTCTCGCGTTATTTGCAATCGAGATATCGAAAGTGACGTTGGTTGAAAATGAATTTTTCTAAATTTTTACTGTTTTGCCTTCAACGTTGAGAAAGATCTTTTCTCGGAAGCACGGCTCTAATCTGCATAATTTCCAAAACAATTTAGATGCAACGACAATAAAGAGTACGATCAGAGAGGAACGTGAGAGCGGCCAACACGGTGTTTTCGACGACACCGACTTTCCGCACTGGGAAAGGGCGCCATCTGCATCCATTTTGAGAGGGGAATTACGATGCTACATCCACTTTCAGGTTTCGGCGGTAAAACCTGTATTAGTTTTAGTTCAATATAATTTTTGGTGCAGCTGCGCCAAAATTTTTTGTATCAAATATTTTTTATTGCATTGTTATAATAATTAATTTGTTACAATAAGAAGTAAAATAACCATATAACTCAGTGTTTTAATAAATAATAATAAATTTTACTTTTAAAAGTTTACGTACATATAGTATAAAAACTTATGTTATGTACATAATATATATCTTAAAGAAGAAAATAATTTGAATTTGAGATTTCTAAAAATATTAAGTTAAGTATACAATAATCATATATATATGTTAGGTTTCTCAGTTGGCGCTACTGTTCTAATATATCACTTCTCTTGTACAGTAGAAAAATGTTGCAGAGTTTTATTATAGTTATAAGTTTTACTTGTAAAAACTTATGTACGCATATATACAATAAAAAAAAATAATTTGAGTTTGATACTTCTAAAAATAACACAATATGTGTTGCGCTTGTACTTGGCGCCTTTTCTTTACCTTTTTGTTTAGAAAGGTAAGTTTTATATAATATTAATATACGTTTCACGTATAACGTGATTGACTTGGAGTACTCGGTGCCCACGCGTGTTATTCATTGCGACGCATTCATACTTTCCCTGATCTGTTACATCGGATTCGATAATCTGCAAGGCACCTGAAACATAAAATGTGATATTCTCGAACAGCGTTCCTCTCAGGATTCTCTTGTCCAAAGAAAGATCAATGACGCGATCACAGATCTCGTGTATGTCATGTCAATAAAGACAGTTTGAATGCGGCGTAATATGATTCTTGAAACAGACGTAAATAAGTATTGTGAAGTTTGAAGCGAGTCTCTCACGGGCATGCTTTGAAAACACGAGTTGTTTTCATTTTCAGCTAACGGACGACGCAGGTATCAACACTGACTGGCAAGGTCAGCGACTGGTAGGGGGTAACCGTGCCTTCCCGATTGTTTGTTTTCGTACGCTTATATATGACTCCGTGATTGCGGAAAGGACATTGCGCCTCGGGCCGACGAACGACGCGCATACCGCGACGCAGAATAGTACGAGTGTCGGTTAATACGCGTTTCTTTATCCTCGAATCTTACTTGCGCGAGTGTTAGAGCTAGAGTCAGTGTCGTCGCCAGTGCTACCATGGAGTATCCGGGGGTGCTGCGACGGAGCAACCAGAAGGAGGACGTCGGATCGAGAAGTCAGGATGGAGAGAGGATTTGGAGCGCGCCGAGAGACATAGCCGAGGACAGCGATACATGATGTATGGTATTCGAGGTACCTCGAGTAATTATTATTACGCAGGATTTTTCTAATTTTAACAGACCTTACTCGAAGTAAGGACATACCCGAGTCGAAATTAGATCAGCATTCATAGTTTATCATCTGAAAAATAATAAAATAGCTTGAGATTTGATTATTCGTTAACCTAATTTCACGTAACATGAGTTCTACTTTTCTTTTCTCATAAAATATGAATGTCTATTCAAGCAAGGTTGCTGAGGCAAGCTAAGGTTTATGAATACAAATTTGTAATTCTGTTCTCAATGAAAAATTGCACATAATTTAAAAAACTATGAATAATGATCTTAGAATCTGATATAAATTTTACAAGTGTTGATTTTTATTCGTCTAATAATGCTCAGATTACTGTTTTCGTTTAGAATCTGCTGGAATGTTCGTTTCTCATTCTTGATTATCTTTCTTATTATACCGAATCTGAATTAAAATCTCTATTAGTGAAACAGCATTATTAGACATAACCGTTGTCTTTTTGCAGCTTCAGCTCTTTTAAGAGCTACAATTCTCATCATTCTCATTAGAAAAAAGAAAAGAAAAAAAAGAGAAGAAAAAAAGAAAAAAGAATTTTAAGAATGATGAGAATAAAAAGTATTTTTCATCTCCCATTTCCTCTAATTCTTATATGATTATTTAATCCTTATATATTTATCTCACGCGCAGTTTTAACAAAGGCAGTTCTATTTACGTTTTTATCTTTGTTCTCTTTCTTGCGCTGTTAAGCGAATATATAATCAACGTCAACAAAAAT